GTAGGTGCAGCTAGGTGGCAGCCTTGGAGAAGGCATCTCTGCATGCATGTAACACGATTGGACATTAAGGGAGGCGCCATTGGACTTGGCGAAAGAGTTCAAAAATTAAAGTTGTCGCCATCCCCATAGGCGAATAAGAGGTGTCATGGGTTGCAGAGTAGGCGCATGCTATGTGACAGCCTTGGGGATACCATGTCTGAATGCATGTAACACTATTGGAGGTGATGGGAGGAGACTTACAAGTTACAGTGTAGGTGCATAGTAGGCGCAGGCTAGGTGGCAGCCTTGGGGGTTACATCTCTGCATGCATGTAACACGATTGGACATTAAGGGAGGCGCCATTGGACTTGGCAAAAGAGTACAAAAATGAAAGGTGTCGCCATCCCCACTGGCGAATAAGAGGTGTCATGGGTTGCAGAATAGGCGCAGGCTAGGTGACAGCCTTGGGGATGCCATGCCTGAATGCATGTAACACTATTGGAGGTGATGGGAGGAGACTTACAAGTTACAATGTAGGTGCAGAGTAGGCGCAGGCTAGGTGGCAGCCTTGGGGGTTACATCTCTGCATGCATGTAACACGATTGGACATTAAGGGAGGCGCCATTGGACTTGGAGAAAGAGTACAAAAATGAAAGGTGTCGTCATCCCCACTGGCGAATAAGAGGTGTCATGGGTTGCAGAATAGGCGCAGGCTAGGTGACAGCCTTGGGGATGCCATGCCTGAATGCATGTAACACTATTGGAGGTGATGGGAGGAGACTTACAAGTTACAGTGTAGGTGCAGAATAGGCGCAGACTAGGTGGCAGCCTTAGGGGTTACATCCTTACTTAATTCAAATTCAGTATGACCTATTTAGTCTTACATTTATCAAAACACTAATTCACTTAATCTGTCAAACCTTCCAACCTTCAAACCTTCATACAATCAAACCTTCAAACCTTCAAACATTCAAACATACAAACCTTCGAATAACTCATAAACTTCAAACACTCCAACCTTCAAACCTTCATACAATCAAACCTTCAAACCTTCAAACATTCCAACCTTCAAACCTTCCAACCTTCAAACCTTCATATAATCAAACCTTCAAACCTTTAAACAAACAAACATACAAACCTTCGAATAACTCATACACTTTAAACATTCAAACCTTCAAACCTTCAAACCTTTTCAAACAACCCTACGCAATGGCCTCTGCACCCCAATATGTCATCAATGCACATTTCAACGGTGAGACATACATTTGTCCCACCTCTGGGTTTTTGTTTAGAGACATAGACAACATCCGATTTATTTTAAACGGGAAAGCCAATTTCTCGTACTTAAAAAAACGATTGGAGGCCAAGCTTGGACGAGGCCCGGTGACACAAATATTTTATCAGAATCCAGTTTTTTTTTTGAAAAAACCAAATAATATTTTATAAGGTTGAGGTTCAAGATGACGAGGATCTTCAGAATATGTTTTCCAGCCATGTGTATTTTGGGTACAACTCTATTGAGTTGTACATTATGCTGCGAGAGCCTCATGTGACACAAGTGGTTGATCCTTTGAAGAACGAACAAGCAGAGGTAGATGCGGTTGATGAAGAAGAAGAAGAAGATGACGAGTTAGAGTTTGATGAAATGGTGAATGATGATTCCGACGATGATGACATACCTAGTATTCCTGCAAACAAGATCTACACACCACCTCCTCAGATGACAAACTTCAACATGGGCGGAGATGAACCGTCTACTAATTTATTTTTCAATCCGTATATGCAGTCGGATGGAAACTTAAAAGAGAAGGACAAGTTTCGTAACAGAGAGGAATGCATCAGAGCCATAAAAAAATTCCACATGCTCAACTCGGTCGATTTTAAGGTGGACCGTGTCAACCCATAAAGGTACAAGATCAAGTGTGTCCACCCTGACTGTATGTTCAAGCTCACTGCATCATACAAATTAAGAGGTGATTGTTGGGTAAGTTCTACCCAATCACAGGACCACCGAAAACTTAATTACGATCTCATCTGTCAAGAAATCCTACCACTGGTCAGCAACGACCCATCTTTGAAGGTGAAAACAATCATCTCCCACATCACCACGGTTTTTAACTATACTCCGTCTTACCGTAAGGCGTGGTTAGCAAAGACTAAGGCGATTGAAAAGGTGTACGGAAATTGGGAGGAGTCATACCAAGAACTTCCTCGCTACCTGAATGCACTCAAGACTTATTCTCCAGGTACTGTTTACGTTCTGGAAACAGTGCCAGCATACGCCCAAGATGGTAGTCAACTAAACGGAAACGGAATATTCAGTCGAGTGTTTTGGGCATTTCAACCTTGCATCACAGGGTTTGCATCATGCAAACCAATTATACAAATTGATGGGACTCGGTTGTATGGGAAATACAAAGGCACGCTACTGATGGCAGTTGCACAAGATGGTAACAACAACATTTTCCCCATTGCCTTTGCCCTAGTCGAGGGGGAGACCGGTGGTGCTTGGAGATTTTTTCTGAAAAAACTGCGAATACACGTGGCTCCTCAACCAGATCTCTGTTTGATCTCGGACATACATGCCTCCATTGAAAGTGCCTACAATAATCCTACAAATGGTTGGCATGACCCTCCTTCTACGCATGTCTATTGCGTTAGGCATATCGTCCAGAATTTCACGAGGGAGATCAAGGACAAAACACTAAGGAAAGTGGTTATGAAGGCGGGATATGCATTGACACAACCCACATTCAAATATTACCACAACGAGATTCGTTTGTCAAACCCGGAAGCCGGTAGGTGGATCGACAATATTCCGGAGGAAAAATGGACTAGGTCATACGACAATGGCCAAAGATGGGGGCACATGAAAACGAATCTTATTGAATCGATGAATGGGGTATTCAAAGGCATACGAAACCTCCCGATCATTGCTTTAGTAAAATCTACATATTTTAGGATGGCTGTGTTGTTTGCCAAAAGAGGTGAAATGTGGAATGCGGTGTTGCAATCTGGACAACTATGGAGTGAAAGCTGCATGAAATACATTAAGGCAGAAAGTGCCAAAGCCAACACTCATATGGTTATACGGTTTGACCGACACAGCCACAACTTCATTGTGAAAGAGACAATCGACCACAACGAAGGCCTGCCAAGACAGGAATATAGGGTAATACTACCTTCTCGTTGGTGCGATTGTGGCAAGTTTCAAGCCTTTCGTATGCCTTGCTCTCATGTCATTGCCCTTGTGCTTATACCCATCAAGACGCGCTACAACTTCTGTCACACATTTACAAATCCGAAACGTTGCTCAACGTTTACAACAACAACTTTCCTTTGGTAGCAAAACCATATTATTGGCCTGCATACGACGACGAAATAGTGTGGCACAATGACCAAATGCGAAGGAACAAGAAGGGTCATCCAAAAAGTAAGCGCATCACAACCGAAATGGACGAACTTGACAAGCTTGAAAGAAAATGTGGTTTATGCCGCCAGGTTGGACACAATCGCAAATATTGTCCGAATCGGGCGTCTGCCTCGACCACATAAAAATTGTAATACATAAAATCTTTCCTTAATTATGTTGTAAACATTTGGGTTTTTCGTAAATAGTATTTTCTACAATAAATATTGCTCGTACAAGAAAAAAAACACGATATTTCTTCTACGAAATTACAAATGTTAAAATAATTTCATCTGACCCATGCATCATCAACATTACGTCGCTGTCTGTTTTGACTTCCTCCAACCATACATTAGGTCTTCCTGTCGCATGTGAGGTTGTTGTTCGTCTTCGCTGGATCCTTCGAATTTTTCCCCCTCCTAAATATCTCCATTTAGCCATCGCATCAACTCCCGCTTCAGACGCTCCATGCAGTGAATGTGCCTGAATTTCATTTTCATCGCAGGTTTCGTGGAGGAGAAGATAACATAACCATCTCTGATAAAAATCATGGGCGATGTCATGACGCAAATAACATAGTAAAAAATAAAAAACAGTGCGAGAAAGTGTGAGAAATGACGGAGAAACGGGCGAATTATTTATAAAACAATATTTTGCCCTAGTTTTGCCCTAGGAGCCAAGTGAGATGGCGCCTCCTCTCACTTTTAAAGTGCATGCGCCATCTCACTTGGCTAAAAGAGAGAGGAGGCGCCAAGTGAGATGGCGCCTAGGGCAAAATCCTAGGTGGAGGCGCCAAGTGAGATGGCTCCTCCTTTGAGGAGTCATCTGAAACATGGTTATTTGCATAATTTTTTCCGAAACATGGTTATTTGTGATTTTTTTTAATACTTGGTTATGACACAATTCTCACATATTTCCTTTTTTAACATGTTGGCCAATTTATAATCTACTGATATTATATATATATATTTATTATTATTAATCATTATTGTACTGAGATTTATTTTTTAACTTATTAAAAAGTGATGCATTGGTCAAGTGAACATAAACATCAACGAGGCTTCCAAATTGCTTAAGCCAAACAAGCCCAGTTTCATTTAATTTTTTTTCCTTTCTGTTATGCAGCAGACGAGCCCAAGGAATATAACAACCACTTGGCTCAAACTAATTACTAATTGTTACTGTATAGATTGCAAGCAGATAACGTTCTGGCAACGAGTTTGAATCAAGAAAATAACATTCTTAATTTCCAGAAACAGCGTCAAGCAAATACAGAAGTAAATCATTTCCAGCACACTCAAAGCAAAACAATTTTATTAGCATTCATTCTTTTCTAAAAAAGATTGAACCAAATACAGAAACATGTTAAAATTGATTCATATACAGTCAAAACAAATCTCTACTAACCGAATCTTCTTCAACACAATTACAAGACATAATCAATTTCTTTCCTAAATCTAGTTCAACCCCTAATTAATTACAATTAAAATGTGCAAACAATTTTTTTTCTTTTCCTAATATACCTAATTACAAAATCTCTATAAAACCTAAAATAAAAATTACAGAGAATGGGGGGAGAGGATGAGAGACCTCCAATACCACACGACCATCATCATTGCCAACCTACCTTGAAAAGAGAAACAGAAGAGGTTGAAACAAAGGAGAAGACAAACCGTAGAACAACCACAATGAACATCACCGCTAGAAACCGATGTTCACGTTACCTCTGACAATGAACCCGCTTGACAACCTTGCTCCGATTGAGATTCAGTCACACCGTCATGGATCATCTGTCCTCAATATCCATGCACAACCGTTGATCAAAGAGAGCCACCATGCTTGCCATCATCATCTCCGACGAAGATGACTGCGGATCACCCCCGATGCAGCCCTTGTTTCCACATTTCAAACCATCACGAAATCGGCGCCCTCCACCTAAGCTAGTCGTTGTCATCACATCTACGATAGAACAAGGAGGAAAAGAAGAATGGATTTGGCTCTACTGTTAAAGAAAATTAAGAAAGAAAATAACACCACTCCCAAATACTCTCTCTCTCTCTCTCTCTTCGTGAAGTACTAAAGGGGTATTAGTATTGCTTTTTTTTCTTCTCTAAATGTTCAATTTGGTTTTAAATTGGATCAAGATTGATAAGTCTAATGGGCTTTGGGCTTTTTTCTTTTACTAAATCTCACCATGTCTAAATTTAACACCCAAAATTTTCATGTTTTTTTAGTTTTATTTAGGTAATTATTTATTTTTTAACCAATTAGACATTAATTTTTAATTAGATTAATTTCTAACATAAGCTCTAATTGTGATAATTTAGGCTAATTTTAACCAATTCCTTTAGATTAGGATAAACGATAATTTTTTCTAAAAAATTATAAAATGCCTGAAATAATTCGTAAGTTCTCTAGTATGTAAAAATCAAATTCTTCTAAATCAAAATTAATTCAATATTTTACATCAAAATATTGAAACCTGTGCAACTCACCGAATACTTCATTCGCGAGCAACACGTGGCCAATATCTGGCCACGTGACGAGGAGACTATATCAGACTCCCTCACTCCACATCTTAATATAACTAACTAATCTCAAATCAATTATTTTACTAATCAAATTTATACTTTCAAAAAATGGTTGGATTAATATATTTTATCGACTGCGAGTTATATCCACGATTCCGCAATTTACAAACCCGAATTTGATTCAAAGAGAATTCAAGATATTTCTACAACCCATAAAAAATACAAACAAACCGCAAACTATGAAATGGGAATCTGATTCCTCCTAAGAGGATACGTAGGCATATGATTAAAATCGTGGCGAGTCCCGCTAAGTGAAATTTAAACCGTTTTCCCTGGTAAAGGAATAAAAACCCTATTTCCTAAACATCACGCTTCTAAACCTAGTATCCTTGTGAACAAGGTAGATAGGGGGTGCCTAACACCTTCCCCTCGTCTAGAATCGAGTCCAAATCTAGAATCTCTGAAACTTTTTAGGGTTATTCCTTTATACTCCCTTCCTTTAGGATAAAAATTAAGGGTGGTGACTCTATTTTTAAAACCAGTTGCAACAGCTGGCGACTCTACTGGGGACTCAACCCTAGGTTTAGAAGCCTTATCTTTCGACTTTAGGGTTTTTAGGATTTTTCTTATTTCTTTTGGGTTTTATTATTTCTTATTTAATTATTTTCTTGCTTATTCTTTATTATTCATATTATTTATACATCTGTGGTGGGATTTATAGTTTTGCAAAAATTATTTTAAAAACCCCTTAGAAAGAAGGTTCGACTATTAGACAAGGGGTTACATCAACCCTATGAGTTTATGCGACGACTTCGCCTAGAGTCGATGAAATTCCGCAAAAGGAATACCTCTCGAGAGACATCCTCTTGGGAAGTGGGACTTTGGAATGACACCTATGACTCTTTGTATTGCCTTTAAACTAAAAACTCGTGATGAGACCCTTCATGACCTAGAGACGAAAGTTTCGGTTTGTAAAGAGACTCCGCTTAAGGGAGGCCCTCGTGCCTTTCCCTCTAGCATTATTCATAATACCCTTAAGGAAACCACCTTATGAGGAAGGTAGAATATTCTTAGGCCAACACTAATAACCTACCTTCTAAAGGATACCTTTCACAGATCCCATTATAATCTGCAAACCTGCAAGGGTCATCCCTTCATCCACAGCTATCTTTAGCCCGTAGGGTTTCCACCTGTATCATCATCCCTATCCTGTGGGGACTCCTCGTCATCTTTCATTTACCTTAATCCTTAAGGAGTTTTTGCCTGTCTCAATCTCTGAGTCAGTGTAGGGTACCATCACGTCTATCATTAAACTTGTATAGAGTACCCCTACGGCTACCCTCATACTACGCCTACATCACATTGCATATCCATGGATTTTTTTACTATTCCAAACCCAAGCATCTTTGTACATTTCATTTTCATCCATCTCATAAAACTCGTATCTCTTCCTCTCACAGAAAACTTCCAACCATAGTCCAACAAGGTGATTCCTAGATACTCGGAACGAACTCGAGATAGCTCATGGAGTAAGTGTAAAGTTAGCTACAACAATGGAAGAAGGTTAACAATCCATGACTGAGGACGTCATTAAACCTCAAGAAGACACTCAAGCTCGACCTCATCCTATACAAGCTGCCATGGAGAACCTTGATGTGCAAGAACACGCCATTTTCCGAGACAGATATACTCTATCCCATGAATCTATTGAGTATCATCAATTTGCTTTCCCTACGCCAAAACCTCAAGGGGAAAATATGACCATGAATACTAAAGAATCCCAAAATCTTGAGGACACCAAAAGATACCGCATGCTGGAAAAGAGGCTTAGCGCCATAGAAGTACAAGATACTCATAGCTTTGATACTTTTGATGTGTGTTTGGTTGAAGACGTGGTATTTCCTCCGAAGTTTAAGATGCCAGATTTCGAAAAATACAAAGGGACTAGTTTCCCTAAGACCCATTTGAAGATGTATGTTAGGAAGATGGCAGCATACCCACGCGATGACAAATTGCTTATCTACTGTTTTCAAGACAGTCTTAGTGGAGCATCATTGGAATGGTATACACAATTGGAAAGGAACCACGTTCCCACCTGGAAAGACTTGGCTTTGGCATTTCAAATACATTATCAATACAACATCGACATGGCTCTAAGTCACATGCAATTGCAAGATTTATCTCAAAGGAGTAACGAATCTTTCAAAGAATATGCGCAAAGATGGAGACAATTGGCTGCTTGAGTACAACCGCCATTATTGGATAAGGAGTTGATAAACGTGTTCATGAGCACCCTACAAGGACAATAATATGAAAAAATGTTGGGCAATATACCATCATGCTTCTCGAACCTAGTAATAGTTGGGGAACGCATCGAGAATGACATCAAAACAGGAAAAGTCTGAAGCATCTCGAGTGGCTCGACTGATGAATCCCTTAGATATTTCCAAGAGGAAGAAGAAAATGAAATAAATTCTATTTTGGGAACTTACCAAGCTCCAGAAACTCCGTCTCATGTGCCTTATCATCAATATTCATATGCAGTAGATGCTCAATACCAACAACCACCCTCTGGTCTTCAACACCAGCAGCCATGGCCTATACCACAAAACCAGGATGCTAAGATTTCATCTCAACATCGACGTCAGAATCGACAGGCTCGAAATCGAAATAATCACCATCAACGCCCAAATCAGCATAGGCGTCCAAATAGTAGATAAGGGGAAACTCGTTGGTTAGACCCGATCCCTATGGCATACAGTCAACTATTGTCATATCTGGTCCAAAAATCATCAATGACCCCTAGACAAACCAGATTCGTGGAGTCTTCTTTCCCTCATTGGTACAACTCAGATGTTCAATGTGAGTTTCAAATGGAGTAGCGGGCCATTCAATTGAAGAATGCAATTCATTCAAAGAAGTGGTACAGGAGTTGATTGACAACAAGCAATTAACTTTTGAAGAAAATAGTGCACATATGGTGGAAAATCCCTCTCCATGATTGGTGGATCATTACCAAAGCTTATCTCCAGGATAATTAGGCTTTATCATTTCAAATTGTAATTTCTTTCTTGCTAAGTGTTATCTGTTATAAACTTTGTACTCTCTGGTCAAGTAATTCTAATAAAATAAGCATGCATGTTGAAATTGATTCATTCCACAAATAATCAACGACTTTCTATTCTTCTCTTCTTTTTCTATTTTCCACTTCAACAAACTTCGATGGAGAATGATGAAAATACAAAATAAACGAATTTTACTGACATATGCTTTTTAATAGTAAGACTTAGCTGGTGATGTAAGGCATTGTTTCACTTCCTAAATAGTGGAGATATAAGTAGTTAATCTGTAGTTAACCCCCTCGAGCCAGAAGTCGGAGTTCTTTCTATTCTCTAAAAAACCTTAATCTTAACCAAGGGCACGGTAAACTTCAATTAATTCGATGATGCATTCAAATCCCAGGAGAATCGAAACGATCTAAGCAAAGGTCCAAGCATATATCTTTATTCGATACATCATCGAGATAACGATCTAAGCAAAGACTCGAGCACATCATCTTCCTCGCATTCATCATCCAGGATTAAGGAATCAACTAAGACAAAGTTCACAACATCTTTCTCCTCAATGCATCAATCAAGATCGAGGAAACGATGAAGACGAAGCTTACAACAATCAGCATGGCAGTCACAAATTGTCAAAATCAAAAGAAAAAAAATAAATTAAAAAAAAGTGAAAGCCCTCTAAGTCAACAGAAATAAAAAAATTGACTGAGGTAAAAGTTAGGGCATCCCGATGGATCGGAAAAAAATTCAAAAAAATTCAAAAAAATTCAAAAAAAAAAATCGGTCCATGCAAAAATAAGGGATTGAAAATAATGAATTGGAAAACAATATTGTGACTGCCACCTCAAGAATCATCAAGGCTTCTCATCAATGCTTGGATCTTATCAACACTTGGATCTTATTAATGCTTGGATCTTATCAAAGCTTTTTCACCGGTGTTTAAATCTTATCAGTGCTTGGATCTTGTCAATGCTTTTCATCGGCGCTTGGATCTTTATCTATGATTCTCATCATCTACGTGACTATGAACTTTCTTTTGAGGATTAAACGCATCTGTTGGATTAATTGGACTTAGGATTGAAGAATATCAAGGAGATTGGGGTGGGATAAATAAATTTTGAGCCTTATATCTTTTGTTTCTTAAACCATGAACCATGGCCACGTTACAACCTTTAAAAGTCCTAATTGAGGCTAGGTTCACTATGAAAGCATACTCAGCAAGATTTGGGTTAAACTGACTCCTATGTTTGTTAAAATTATTTACAACTACTTCGCTTCTTCGAATATTCATCTTCTAACCTTCCATTTCTTTTCAAATAATAATTTTTTATTTCAAGAACTTGCATGTGCATCAAACGAAATTACTTTTTCAAAATGTACAATTTTGTCTACGAATCAATACTTAGCATCAAGGAGATCTCAAATTTGGTTTGATTAAAAGTCATCCTTCCCACGAAGCTCCTAAATAGGGTAAAAACATCTAAGGGGATCCCTATATACGAGGGCAAATACTAATGATCGCAGGGTATATCGCATACTATTGACAAGGGGTGATCATTCTGAGGTTCAATCAACTTGGATCAAATTTCAAAGCACTGCTCAACAAGGGGCATACCTTTCGAAGAAGCATTCATGCCATGATAGGATATGACTCGGTTTCCTCGTTTTAATAAGCCTCTCAAGGCCTGGAAGCATGGGAAACCTTCCAAGATTCAAATGTTGGGGCAGTACATACCAAGTTCATCCTACTGCAAGTAGGGTCCGAATTCTTCAAGCAACTTCGAGTACAAATCTTTTCAAGCTTCGAATACTGGGGGCAACCTATGTTGAGTTCATGGTGAAGTCTAAAACTCTTTCTGAGGGTACTTCCTCCAGATCCTGGAGATTGAGGGGGCACATCTTTTCAAAATTCGAATGTTAGGGAAAACTACTGTGAGGCTCAATCAAAAGGAGTTGATTCAAAATGGTTCTATCAAAGCCAAGCATTTTCAAGAATCTGTTAATCAGGGGCATAATACAAAATAGTGGGGTCATCCACATTATGATCAAACTGTTTCCAAGCTCATATTAAAGAGAATCTCCTCCAAGACCCTACCCACAAATTAAAAAATAAATAGTCCACACAGGGGCAAGCTCTCCACACACTTTCACAACCTCCAGTTGGTCTTTCTTCTACATCAGCAGTCTTCAAATTCAAATCGAGTGTCAAGGAATCATGCAAGCACAACACTATACTATCATGTGACAAGCAACATTGTTGCATAACCAAACCTCTACGCTCTAACCATCCACGACCTATCACGGGGGCACCATTCAAAAAACTATTCAAGTCATAATCATAAAGCATAAGGTTGCATAAATCATGCATTAAAGGCTCTTCGATCCAAAACCAGGCTATACTTATCATCTCATCCATCTGATGAAATCCGACAGCATGGGTCGAGCATACCTCAAAAGGCCCAATTACGCATTTCAAAATCCAACATCCATTCACACATTATCCAAGTCATTCATCACATATATTAATCAATCATCACATCACATACATCAATTAATCATTATGGAATTCCTCGAAACCCACTACGAACAAAGCCGATATCTTAGGGCCCTCAAATCAATTCTTACCTCGATTAGAAACATATAACCAGCAAAATTCGTTCTTATCTCAGTTTTAGTTAACTAAGATATGGATCTCAAAACAACTTCTTTAAATTCAAACATATTATGTCAGTATCCATGTGACAATGTGTCAATTATTCTACATATTTTGTCAATCTCCATGCAGTAATGTGTTTCTTTCTTAGCTTGTTCTGTCAGACCCCAGGGAGCAATGTTGCAAAGTCGACAATTCCATATAACTTATTGTGTCAGTCTCCATGTAGTGGTTTGTTTTTCCTTTGTGATCTAGATCATTGTGTCAGACTCCAGACAACAATGTTGCGAAATATGTAATTCCACTCATTGTGTTAGTCTCTATGCGACAATGTGTGAATTTTTTTGTATTTAACTTATTGTGTCAGTCTCCACACAACAATATGTTCTTTCTTCGTGATCTAGCTTATTGTGTTAGACTACAAGCAGCAATGTTACGAAAGCAAAAATTCCACCCATTGTGTCAACCTCTATGCAACAATGTCCAAAATTTTCAAATTAGCTTATTGTGTCAGTCTCCACGCTGCAATGTGTTTCTTTCTTAGCTCGTTGTGTTAGACCCCAGGTAGCAATGTTGCAACATTGACAATTCGACCCGTTGTGTCAGTCTCTATGCAACAATGTGTGAATTTTCTACATATAACTTATTGTGCCATTCTCCATTCAGCGATATGTTTTTCCTTTGCGATCTAGCTCATTGTGTCAGACTCCAGGCAGCAATGTTGTGAAATCAACAATCCCACTTATTGTGTCAGTCTCTATGCGACAATGTGTGAAATTTTCTATATTTAACTTATTGTGTCAGTCTCCATGCAACAATATGTTCTTTCTTCGCGATCTAGCTCATTGTAGCAGACTTCAGGCAGCAATGTTGCGAAAGTAGCAATTCCACCCATTGTGTCAGCCTCTATGCAACAATGTCTAAAATTTTCAAATTAACTTATTGTGTCAGTCTCCATACAGCAATGTGTTTCTTTCTTAGCTCGTTGTGTCAGACCCTAGGCAGCAATATTGCAACATTGACAATTCCACCCGTTGTGTCAGTCTCTATGCAACAATATGTGAATTTTCTACATATAACTTATTGTGTCAGTCTCCATGCAGCGATATGTTTTTCCTTTGCAATCTAACTCATTGTGTCAGACTCCATGCAGCAATGTTGCAAAATCAAAAATTCCATTCATTGTGTCAGTCTCTATGTGACAATGTGTGAAATTTTCTATATTTAATTTATTGTGTCAATCTACATGCAACAATATGTTCTTTCTTCGCGATCTAGCTCATTGTGTCAGACTCCAGGCAGCAATGTTGTGAAATCAACAATTCCACCCATTGTGCCAGTCTCTATATGACAATGTGTGAAATTATCTATATTTAGCTTTTTGTGACTGTCTCCATGCAGCAATATGTTCTTTCTTCGCGATCCAGCTCATTGTGTCAGACTCTAGGCAGCAATGTTGCGAAATCAGTAATTCCACTCATTGTGTCAGTCTCTATGCAACAATATGTGAAATTTTCTATATTTAATTTATTGTATCAGTCTCCATGCATCAGTGTATTCCTTCCTCTGCGAAATAATTCATTGTGTCAGGCTCCATGCAACAATATATGGAATCTGCAGTTTAACCCATTGCGTCAATCTCCATACAACAATGTGTTTCCCTATCTACAATATAATCCATTGCATCGGTCTCCATGAAGCGATGTTATTATCAAATTCCTTCCATTGCATTGGTCTCCATGCAACAATTCTTTTACCAGATTTTGTCTACTGCATCAATCTCCATGCCACAATATTTTTATCAAGTTTTTTTCACGGTATAATCCATTGCATCAGTCTTCAGGAAACAATGTCACCATCAGAGTTTCTTCCTCGACATA